CCTGCACTAAGGATTGAACCCAGAGCCTGTGCACTGAGCTACATTCCAAGCCCCCCCGCTTTTGTACCAGGGATCGAACTCAGGACCTTGTGCTTTCGAGGCAGGCGGCGGAACCACTGAGCTAAATCCCCAGCGCCCCCTTGCGTTATTTTTTAAGATGGTATCTTACTAAGTTACTAAGTTGCCCAGGCTGGGCTCGAATTTAGACTCTTTCTGCCTCAGCCTCCCAGATTGCTGGGAATGTAGGTGTGTGCCACCATACCCGGCTATGTTATGGGCTTCTGTGAGAATTAAATAAATACACACAGGGCTGGAGATGTAGTTCAGGGGCATAGTGCTGGCCTGACATGTGCAAGGCCCTGGGTTCAATCCTCAGCATCACAGTAAAACAAAGAAACATATATAGCATTTAGGAGAGTGTACTTATTACTACAGAGTTGCCAAAATGTTAACTAGTAGCTAGAGGAGGTGACATATATCTATAATCTCAGCCACTCTGGAGGCTGAGGCAGGAGGACCACAAGTTTAGGGCCAGCCTGGGCGACCTAGTGAGACCCAGTCTCTAAATTAAAAATAAAAGGGCCGGGATTTAGCTCACTGGTTCCACCGCCTGCCTCGAAAGGTCCTGAGTTCAATTCCTGGTACAATAAATAAATAAATAAATAGCTAGCTAGCTAAATAAATAAATAAATAAATTTTTAAAAGGTAAAATAAAAGAGACAGGCACAGTCATGCAGGCCTGTAGTCCCAGCACTTGCCAGCACTGGGGAGGCTGAGGCAAGAGGATTGCTGAGAGTTCAAAGCTAACCTGGACTACATAGTGAATTCAAGGCCAGCCTGAACCCCCACCTCAAAAAAAAATCCCAGTACTTGGGGGCTGAGGCAGGAGGATCACTAGGAGTTTGAGGCCAGCCTTAGCTTCATAGTGAGTTCAAGGCCAGCCTAAACTACATAGTGAGATCTTGTCTCCAAAAAAAATTAAAAATAAGAGATGTGGATATCAGTGGCGGAGCATCCTGGGCTTGGTACCACAAAAAAGTCCTAACTAATATAACAACAATAAACACTGCTACAGTATTATTTTATAATGCTTACTGTTACACTGTCTCTAAAAAGTCCGATCTTGGCTCTAGGGCAATTTGCCATTTCCAACGTGGCCACAAGAGGGCATTAGTAGCCACTGCGCGTCACTGGCGGCCACTTCAGGCCTCTTGCCGCGCCTAGGATCCTGAGGGGCTCTCAGCCAGAGGACAGATGCAGCTTCCGGGTGAACGTGGTGGGCAGGTCCTGTGAGGGAAGAGCCTCAGCAGGGATCTGCTTCCTGCACGCCATCGAGGCGCACCTTGGACAGTGCTGGAGGCTGGGTTCCCGCACTCAGACCGGGTGACCGCGGGCAGCAGCTCCACAGCCGGGTGCCCCACACCCGCAGCTCTGAGAACCCTCTGACTCTCTTCTGGTGGCACTTGCCAAGCAGGATTAGGAGGACGAGCGGGGGTTGGGGGCGCGTCTCTGCCCATCCTAACCTCTCCAGGCGCCGCCAGAAGACCTACAAGGCTGGAGGAGGCTCACAGGAGCCCAGCCAGTGGCAGAAGAAAGTCCGAGTGGGGTGTGTGTGTGTGTGTGTGTGTGTGTGTGTGTGTGGTGTATGCACAGCTGTTCTTCTAAAACTTGGGTGGACTCTCCTACTTTTAATCCCTGGGCTTTTGTTGTTCCATGTGTGGGCTGGACTGAGGTGTTTTTCACATTTATTAATCACTTTCCACCCCGTGCTCTAAATTTTAGGATTTCAGGGTTGGAGGACATCCTAATCTGCCACCCTTCCTTACTGATTCAAGGAGGCTAGTTAGGCATGGATACGTGGAGTTCCAGCACTAGGGAGGCCAAGGCGGGAGGACTGCAAATTCCAGACCAGCTTGGTCTACATAGAGAGACCTTGTTTAAAAAAAAAAAAAAAAGTGTGACTGACTTCCCAAGAGATGGACTAGAGCTAGAACCTAGGCACTATATTAGTGGTATACAGAGGCAGAACACTGACATAGAGTGGCTTAGACATCAACTCATTAACACGTCTTCTGGTCTTCTGTTTTTTTGTCTGTTTGCTTTTGGTACTGGGGATCAAACTTGGGACCTTGTGCTCACAAGGCAGCCAGCAGAACCACTGAGCTAAATCTCTGGCCCTGTTTGTTTTTGTTTTTGAGACAGAGTCTCTCATATGTAGTTCAGGCTGTTCTTGAACCAAGTATGTAGCCCAGCCTGGCCTTAATTTCATGGCAATCCTCCTGCCTCAGCCTCCTGAGTCCTGGGATTGCAGGCCTGTGTCACCGGGCCTGGTGTCTTCTGGCTATTTGACCTCTTGTTAGACTTCCTGGCACCTGAGGCTGTTTAGGCAGGAGGCAGGCTGTACTCCTTATTCAAATAGACCCCTGAGTTTTAGGCAGCCCAGCCTGGCCTTGAAGACCCCTTTCCCAGGTGGCCTCCCTGTGGTTTGCCTCTCTAGGAGCCTGCTCAGACCCCTAGACTCTGGCTGGATGGCCTGTCCCCTGCCTTGGGACACCTCAGCAGCCCACACAGAGGAAGTGAGTCACCCAAGGCGGGCGGGGCAACTTGGGCCACGGTGGGCGTGGCCATGCCAGCCTGGTGGGGGAGGGGTGGGAGCGTGGTGACCACAGTCCCTGTCCAGCCAAGGAGGGTGTGTGGAGTGTCTTCCTGATGCCGGCCTAGAATGGGTCCCCCCACTCCATCCAGGGTGTCTGCTCTTATCAGTATTTCTCAGGCCCTCAATATCCCGCTTTGCCCCCAGACTTTCCTTCCCTACTGTTATCTTTTTTCTTTTTCTTGCAGTGATGGGAATCGAACCCAGTGACTGCCACTGAGCTACCCTGGAAGACCCTGCCCCACCACTGTCTTTCAAAACAAAGGGGAGGGAACCAGTCTTCAGTCCCGTTTAAAGTTTAGTGGGGATCATGGGAAAGCCCGGTGCCAAGGAAAACCACCGGAGAAAAGCACTCAGAAACTTTTTAAAAAGTGGCACAGTGGGAGGGAGGGATTACAGAGGGACCCAGAGGTTTCCTGGGGCTCCAAACAGGAGACCCTGGGACTGGCTGGGAAAGGGTCTCGGATGTGTAGCAGGGAGGGCGAAGAGGCTCGAGGGAGACACGCGGGGTAGACAGACACCGTGTATGTGAGGGAGGCGTTCAGCAGGGGCAGAGCGGATGGAGGCAGAGAGGTTGCTGCGAACTAGAAAGATCAAGAAAAAGCCCAGTGGGTCCCTGGGGGCTGATGCAGGTGGCCCGACCACAACCGTTCTCGTTCCTCCTTGGTGCTCTGGTCTAGGCACCAGAAGCAAATTAAACAAGCTGGAAATTAAGTCAGCTCCTGCCTTACTGTCCCTCCGGATGAGGCGGAGGCGAGGCCCAAGACTGCAGGCTGCATTCGTGGGGATCACAGCCCTTCCCGGGAGAGCTGTCAAGCGTTTGGACCGGATTCCATGTTCCACGCAGCAAGTAAGTCCCAGTCCCAGGTTCTAGCGGCACAGCCTAAAACCATCGTTTCATGGAGAAAAAGACTTTTCAAAGCGGGGGACACAGTAGCTGTCCTTGTAAACAGAGCCTCAGCACATCCCGGTCACGCTGCATCCACGCCGGGAGTCAGGGCCAGTCGCTCTGAGACATGGTTTCATCAGTCTGTTTAGGGAGGAAACTGCGACAAGAGTGAGGGTGGACGTGGGCCTGGGAACTGAAACCCGCTCTACAAAACAAGCGGGAGGGCGGCCCTGTCGGGCCCAGCCGCGGTCAGGGGTCTTCCGGGGAGGAGGTCGGGCCGCGCCGCTGCTCCC